ACATTAATTTCTACATTTATAAAATAATAATAATGGCTCCTAATCACACAACATTTTTCTGTCAAATCAAACACAAGAATGTTAAAGTGTTTTGTAAAACCCTGCATTTATGTAAGATGTCTGTTATCTGCTTTCATATACAATTTAGAGTATCTATCCTTTAACTCTTGATATTTTGGCTTTCTAAATACTGTGCATTTATTGTATAAACACTTTGTTTCAGAAAGTACTATGTTCCTTTTGGGAGGATGTTTCATCACACAGCTTCTCACTACTCTTGTGAATTACTAAAAATCTTGAGAGGGCAGAAAGAAAATCCATTCCTCTCTAGTTAATCTGTAGCACTCCTTTTGACAATGTTCAAGTACAGGCTGATTGGCTATAGTACAGAGCCATAGGGATTTGATGAAACAATGTGTTCCACAGCAATACAGAATCCAGCTGTATCCATCTTAAGAGAAGTACCAGGTATGACCTTGGATGATCACTGGTAAGTATGCTAGTTGCCTAGCAAAATGCAAAAGTCCAAGGAACAAGGTTTAATGCCTTTACTGATTTATATTTTTAAGCTTTTATTATCATTAGGAGATGTGCTACAAATTGAATATTTCATAGAGAACTTAGAATAGCACGGGATTTTCTGCTTCCATAGCTGTTGGCATGAACCAATCTTATCAATTTTCACATTTGCAATGATAAGAAAATGTTATGTTACACAATTCATCAGTGCTTATAAAGCACTGAATAACTGGCATATTTTACTTTAAAGACAAGCCTGTGACAAATGAAATTTAAATAAGGGCAACAGTATTTTAAAGGCTCTCAATGTGAAAGAAAATACGGGTTTCTAATGCTATACATATTTGAGTCTTAAAAAAAACCCCTCTATTTTAATATAATCAGTTTTATTTTTGAAAGCAGAAAAATAGGTTAAAAATATAATTTATCAATAATAACATTTCTAAAAGTTTATGACCATAGATTGCATGAAATAACATGCATTGGAATACTGCAAATAAGTAAATACCTTCAGCTAGATGCAGTAGTAAATAAAACATTTTCTCAAATTTTGCATATAAAATTTCAGACTAGCAAATTATTTGAAATACATTTCTAGAACAAGACACCCTCCTAACTGTCCCTCTTACACTGGTTAAAATGCTTAAATTTTTTATACAACTAACAGTTTAATGTAATTTTTGTTGTTTCATTCTTTGCTACTAACTCAGTGCCATCAAGTCGGATCCGACTCACAGCGAGCCCTCCTTGGGTTTCAGAGGTGGTATCACTATGGAAGTAGATTGTCCAATCTTTCTTCCGAGGAGTGGCTGGTGGGTTTGAACCGCCAGCCTTCTGGTTAGCAGTCAGGTGCCTTAGGCACTATGCCACCAGAGCTCCGAAGTTCTCCCAATTTATCTCTCTCCACAATATGAGTATGGTAAACAAGGGAAGCTAACAAATGAAAAGGGAATTTTTTTATGAAAACACTTATTAAATTATCTTTAAAAAATCATCAAAGATATCTGCCAAGTTTCATTTAATACAAAGTAAAATGAACAATTTATTAAACTAATCATTGCCATCTACCACTGACATTAAATGAAGAACTGAAACATTTCAGTAACTTCTTGGATAGCATAAAAGATATATATTTTATTCAATGGGAAAAATAATCTATGTTGGACATAACTTATAAAAAAAAGTCCTTGTTAGTTGGCTGAAGTATTATATAATTAAGCTGATCATGCAATTTCAAGCTGCTGTTTCACATTCATGAACACAATCTGAACTACTGTTACCAATTTTTAGCTGATTAAATTTAAAGCTTATTTGTTGCAGAGACATAATATTAACAGAAATAAAAATTAATACACATAAAAATTCATCCATCATTCTATTACTTCAACAAATCAAATCATATTCATTTTTTTCAGGAAACCCAGGCACACTTTACCCTTAAACATACATAGACTTTGCCTAAGAGCTTAGGTAAAATTTGTGTTGTTCTTTTCTTACATTATCTCATGGGTTTTCATATATTGCTGTAAAATCTTCACAACTATCATTACAATAAATTCATTGTATGAATTACCATAACTTGGTGAATACTTTTTCCCACTCTTGGCATAAGTAACTCCCTCTCCTCCATTGTTTTGTACTAGCATTAGCCACCAACAATTTCAGTTATGTAGTTTTTCCCATGTTTTTGACGTTTCCCCTTTCAGGTAAATTCTCTGAAATATAGCATTTTAGATATGAATGTTTTTATGGCTCTTTTACACACTGCCAACATATTTTCTAAATTGCACTGTCAATAGCAACATAAGTTCCTAAGATTTGTACTGTGACCTTCATTAGTACTTCACTGCCATCAAGTCGATTCCAACTCATAGTGACCCCCATTGGGTTTCCAAGGATGTAAGAATTTATGCAAGCAGACTACCTCATCTTTCTTCCATGGAGTGGCTGGTGGGTTTCATTGGCAGGGGAACCACTAACTGCACAGGAATGATATGGTATCTCACTAGTATTGTTTTATTCTGAAATTTGTTACTGTAAATATTTGCTGGTCTTATTTGTTATGCTAATTGTCTTCAGGGAAAATTTTAGTGTTTATCTTAAAAATGAACATGTGTTTTTCACAGTCTTACTAGGAAATAAACTTATACCATATAACCACAATTTTTTTCCCCAAATATAAATTTTTTCCTTTATTTGGGTTTTTCTTTTTTTTCTTGTAAGAGATAATTTTAAAATTTTGACATAATTAAATCTGTTCAGTACTTTCCTATGTGGCATTTTTTTTTAATTGCTTCAAAGCTCAGCTAATGATCTCACCAAATGTCTTGTAAATGTGCAACTTCTCCATGATTTGACTTAAAAAAATCTACTTAATCAATCTGGAACATATTTGGGCATATGGTATGAGATGTGGATTTAAATTACACCAAGTCCTCACTCATCAATTATCTCATTATCTGACATTTTGCATTCATAGCAACAGTGAAAAAGCTACTCTTCCGACTATTTTGCCCATTAACAATGCCTGTCTGGTAGTAACAAATGCTGAGGGGGGAAATGAGAGTAACACTGGCTGTGATGGTTATGGTTATGTGTCAACTTGACAGGGCCATGATTCTCAGTGGTTTGGCAGTTATGTCATGATGTAATTTGGCAATTATGCTATGATGTAATCTCATAGTTACGTAATGATGTAGTCATGCTCCGTGTTGTGATCTAATGTGGTCATCCTCCATTTTCACATGATGCTGATTTTCACATAATGATCTAGTCTTTGACACTTAACCATGTTGGTAAGTGAGGAATTGGTATACTCCTCTTTTGAATTTTGAATAAGATATGCCAAAACCACATATTAAGTAATCCTTCTCTTTTTTATTGTTCTATGAAGCTGATTTTCTCACATATTAAATTTCCATATTAAATATGCAGAGGTTTTCTATATATTTCTATATCTAGCACAGTATCAAAAATTTTAAATTATATTGCTTTCACTATATGTGTATATTATCTTATTTATTGTTTGAGTGTCATAAAATCCTGACAGATAATGATGTTATTATTATAACTATTAGTGTTAAGAGCATATAAGTAAACATATAACTTTTTTTCATCAAAAGCAGAGGCTCATTTCATATTATCATAGTACATGAAAATGTATTTGAGGATCATCTATATTACACATTAACTTTGTGAATATTTTATGAATATTTCTCCTATATTAATAATTACTCTTTCATTATATTTTATAGTTTTACTTATTTATAAAATGCTGCTGAATTTAATATATTTATTTCATGTTCAAAGTTTTATCATGCTCCTCATCATCTCTTAAAAATGTGGTTGATTCTTGTGGTTTTCTAGGTTGCCAAATTATCAAAATAAAAAATTCTTTGTGAAATTAAACCAACCAAACACACCAGCCTCTCCAGGAAAAAGATGTGCCAGTCTGTGTGGTAAAGATTACAGCTTTTGGAAACTCCATGGGGCTCCTACTCTGTCCTATAGGGTTGCTTTGAGTCAGAATTGATTCAATGGCAAAGAGTTTGGTTTTGGTAATCAGTGTCCTTTAGTATGTAGATTGAACTGCTTTGAGAATTTTCCTAAAGAATTTACCTCATAATACCTTGCCTGACAGGAAGGGATTATATTACTGGATGGCAAAAAGTAATCAAAGGAAAAGCATGTAGCCTTTTTATTTCTTTGTGG